TTAACGAGATGTTCAACAGTTCAAGGCTAACAAACATGTGGTTTGATGTTAGTTCCCTTTTGTGTTTTGTTTCTCTGAATTTACACAACTTATATTCTTATTTGCATGTTGATTATGTTCTAAAGACTTGGCACCTCTTAGGCCAAAAAAACTAATTTTCTTTTTTTCTCTAGCTTTCATATTTTTTTCAATTCATGTTAGAAGCCCAAAAGGAAATGGAAATATTACATAAATAATTAATCCTTTCATAAGAACTGTTTCTTGCATAAGTCTCATCAAGAAATTAGGATTGTTTTATGGTGTGCCTTTATATTTTCTTTTACCTTTCTAATTTGTGTGAGGTAATTGTTGTTTGTTATCTTAAATTTCGTTACGTTATACTTATCTTCTTATTTTTTTCGTTTTAGCACATGGTATACTCTTATATCTCTTTTATTTTTTCTTCCTACTAAAACGACTAAAAATATTTTAAGTTGAAATTACATTATAAAATATGATCTTCCAGATCACTACTCTTACACATAAACAGGAACATGGACATTCATAGAGATAAAGACATTAATTTTTCTAGCGGAACATGTAAGCGTTTGGGCATAAGAATGGTAAAATTTCGAAAAAAAAGTGAAAAAAAAATTAAGTGAAAATGGTATTTGAAAATTAGAGTTGTGTTTGGACATGAATATAATTTTGGGTTGTTTTTGAATTTTTGTGAGTGATCTGAGTGAATTTTAAAAATAGTTTTTTGGAGTTTTTCAAATTTTCGAAAAATTCCAAAATTCATCTTAAGTGAAAATTGAAAATTTTATGGCCAAAAAGTAAAAAAATTCTTATGTCCAAACAGGATCTAATCATGGGGATTCTTCTCTTTCAAGAAAGTGAATTTCTTGGAGAAAACAAAGGAAATAAGGCAACATCAGTAAAACTTTCACAAAGAGACTGCTATTCACTGCATTACTAGAACCCAGAATAGGGAGAAAAAAGGCTGAAATTTCACAATATAATTCAATCATGCATTAATACTCGTAACTATTGCAATTAATGTATTATCTACTCATATGAGAAGTTGAATAACCATTCAAGAATTAATGAGAACACTTTAGTGGCGGATGACTTTTGCGCTTCCTAGACAAATCGATTGTTATTTTTTCATTTGGTAAGAGAATTCTAAGGGTGGGGTGGGGGGAGGGTTAATTAAAATATCTTGAAAGCAAGGAATGAGAGAATAAAAAGCAAAACAAAAAAGAAGGGGGAAAAAAACAAATACCTTTCTTGGTTTATGAGATGTGTCACGTTATCAATGTAATGACCAGCTTCATATTATACAGATATGGATATACGTATATGATTTCGTAAATTCACTTATGGATTTTATGACCGCGCGAAGCGCAGATAAATTCACTAGTTTTGAAATAAGGATCGAGTTGATGCAAAATGCATAGCTATCTTTGTGTTGGATTTCAATTAATTATCCGAAGATGTAGCTTAAATCTAGCACTTACATTAATAAAAAAAATATAATAAGTATTTTCTTCACAATGGTTTTTGCTTGTATATTAATATTGAAGACGTTATATTTTTTCTTATACTTTCATAAAATTAGTGGGATTGCCCTATTGTGGCTCTAATTGTGCAAATTTCTTTTTAACAGAAACGGTATGATTCCCTTATTGAAAATGTTGTTATTCTTTACTTATGCAAATTCACTTTTAATTAGACAAATATAAGAAAAAATGTGATTTGCCTATTGAAAATTATGTTTTTAGTTGTGTTGCGGGTAGTAGAGGCGTGATTTCCCTATTGAAAATGTTTGTTCATTTTGTTGATAAAATAACTTTAATTTCAAACTGATAAGGAACCGAACCGGTCAACTACACTACTCAAACTTTATGGTAAAAAATATGGCACCCGCCACCTTCAAATCCTGGATCTGTCCCCGGTGACACATACTCACACAGACATATATACATATTTCTATGTACATATCACTTTTAATTAGACAAATATAAGAAAAAATGTGATTTGCCTATTGAAAATGATGCTTTTAGTTGTGTTGCGGGTAGTAGAGGCGTGATTTCCCTATTGAAAATGTTTGTTTATTTTGTTGATAAAATAACTTTAATTTCAAACTGATAAGGAACCGAACCGGTCAACTACACTACTCAAACTTTATGGTAAAAAATATGGCACCCGCCACCTTCAAATCCTGGATCTGCCCCCGGTGACACATACCCACACAGACATATATACTTATTTCTATGTACATATATACATTATTTCTATGTGTGCTTATAGCAAATTTGAAATTGTATTTGAAGTATACTTATGTATTAGGCTTCCATCACTTTTGGAGCATGGATGCTACAGAATGGTCGTAAACAAAATGCCTAATAGAATGTTTTAGGCACCGGCAACAGATGTACAACATACATCTTACATTGTTCAAATATTTTTTTCATTTATCTAAACATGCCTGAGAAAAATTTGTTTACCTTTTCCTGGACATGGAATGATGGATTCAAATGGAACTAGAATGTATAGAGGTGGGTCAAACCTTTATGGCTATTATGTTTCAATATCCTTCATATATCTTGACATACTCATATTGGACAGATATACATGGTTATTTCGGATGCAAGTGGGTGCATCACATCAATGGATCTTTTAATTAATTTTATTTTTATTTTAAAGGTAGGCCTGTTGTTGTATTTTTATGAAGAGACACCCATGGATCTCTTAAATGCAAGACCTCATAAATGATCATAAATTAGAACAAATTTCTATGTATCAATACATGCACGTTGTCCACTACCATTTCATTTACCGCTAATACAGTACAGAAGTTATGAAGATACCTTTTCCTTTAAAGCTTCAGTCACAGCGACACGAGCTTTGAAACGAGGCATTCCTTCAAAGTATGGGCCCGCATTACTATTTATATTCCCATCATCAGTAAAAATGCTTATGAATTCAAGCTTGTGACGCTGTCCAACCTCGAAATCATTTGGATCATGGGCTGGAGTTATCTACAAGGATATTCAAGGAATTATGAATATCTGGGACTCAGGCAATTATTTCTCAGCACTCAAATATAACGATATAAAGTACCTTAACAGCACCAGTCCCAAAATTCATATCTACAAGTATTTCATCACAAACTATTGGAAGCCTTCGTCCATTGAATGGATGAATAGCAAATCTCCCATGAAGGTGACTGTATCTTTTGTCTTCAGGATGTATAGCAATTGCAGTATCACCAAGCATTGTTTCAATTCTGGTAGTCGCCACAACAATTTCACCAAGGCCACCTTCCAAGGGGTAAGCAAATGATGTCAGCACCCCGAACTCCACAGGCTCCTCATATCCAGGAACACTCAGAAGTGTCCTCTCTTTGATATCTGTATATTCGACCTACAAACAGAAAGTAACTTATACAGTGTATAAAGAAGTATTTGCAACACCAACTAAAAGCTGATCCTACAGGGCTACGTGGCTCACCTCAATATCAGATATTGCAGTACGCAAGACACAATCCCAATGCACCATACGTGGAGCCCTTGATAGATGATAACAAAAGGTTAATATAGAGTCAAAACTAATTCAAGAAACTCATACTCAAGAAAATGGCTACATCCTACCCATAGCAAGAAGACATTCACATGCACATAATGAGGAGAGGAGGCAGACAGAGGAAGAAAAAGAGCTATATACCTGTATATAAGACCTTCATTGGACAGTCTCACAAATGCTTCAGTAACAGCTTTAGACCTTTTCTCATCCATGGTAAAGCACTGATTTGGGAGAACATGTGTTACAGCAGTACAGCACAATAAATAAGTATAATTACAACAACTTCAGGATTTCCCCAACCGAGGTAGAAAAGGGTAAATCTCGATTTGTACCTCGCGAGACCAATCAAGTGACGCACCCAAGCGACGTAATTGCTGCAGTATAGTACCCCCATACTCATTCTTCCAGTTCCAGACCTACAAAAACCTTAGCAAGTACAATAAATAAATCTATGGGTGCAAAGAATCGTTAGAAATTAGTATTTGATTTTCTTTATTTAACTTTTCAACAGAGACATTCCAGACTGAGAAAGAGGAATTGGAAGGATATTTTTTTGATTAAGGAAACAATTGGAAGGATATTATAGCCATTGAAGTGGTTTTTCTTACGGGAATGAAGAGATAGTAATGAGAGACTTAAAAATAAGTTTAAGACGCTAAATAAGGAATTACTAGCACTTAGCCGTATATACTCACTTCAGATACAAAGTTCTCACGCCCAATATCATGTCTAGTCAAATTCCTCTCCCGCATAATCTTCTTCTCCACAACAACCTGAATTCCACATCCGCAATGCACGATTAGAAAATCTCACACAGTTCCATAAACTGTGAAAGTGACAAACAAACAGCAGAAATGTTAAAGTCATGATTTGACATGTTTGACACACAACCTGTGTTGCGATCCCAGCATGATCCATCCCTGGCACCCACAAGGTATTGTATCCGGACATTCTCCGCCAACGAATAATTGTATCCTGGAAACAAAGGTAAAATATAAAATTCGTATAAGCAAATGAACACTCAGAACTAGGCTCGGTGACTCTTATACCTCGATGGCAGCAGTGAGTGCATGTCCGATATGGAGAGCACCAGTCACATTTGGTGGGGGCAAGACCTGCATTTAAACAGAGAGGTAAGCAGCTCAGGAGAAAGGAGTCCAAGCTAGACCATGTACACGGTAACAAGCAAGACTTTGGCATCAGCTTATTTACCTTACAAATTATTGAGTAACAGTGTAACACAATTCACCAAGTAATTGTCTAAATGAAAAGATACCAGTTAAGTCTGTCAATATAAACCTCAGTAGCTTTTTTACTTTTGGGCCCATATGAGAATTAACAGTAAGTTAAACAGTGTCTCCATGATAACATGGAATCCCATCCAGCAGCAGTTTGGTGGGTATTCTGGAGAAAAAACAACTCCAATTTTTCAGACAAAAGTTCTGTACTTAGTCTTAAGCTCAACTGTATTCTTCTGCTTTCTTTTTGGGATAAAAATGGCTGTTGTAAATGATTTTGAGTTGCCATGTTTGACTCTGTTAGCTCACTGCAGAATCTGTGAACTTTTTTTATATTCATATGTGAAATTACCAGCGACACTTGTTTCTGGTCTTGATTAATAAAATTTCACCCTATCCAAAATAAAAGAAGGAAAATAAATTTCCCTCTAATTCAAAAAATAACATCCTCCCCTGTGAAATCCTGGAGAAATGAGCAATTGAAATTGACAAAACCGTCCTAGCATACTGAAGGAAAATGAGCAACTGAAACTTGCCTTCCTCTTCAATACCTACTAAATTGTTTAGGGTACTTTTGCTATCCATTAGAAAGAGAGTAGAAAAAAGGTTTCCAAAATCCACATCATGACACAAAGCAAGGTAAGATAACAAATAAAAAGGCCTGGATGTACATATATTCAAACTTTAAAATTCCAGTAAGTAAAAATTGCTATGTTGTGAGATACCAACATGTGCTTCTCCTTACAAAACTCTCCTACGAATAGGGATGGCAATGGAGCGGCGCGGCTGCGGGCTGAGCGGGTTTAGACATATGCGGGGCAGGGCGGGTTTAGACATACGCCTCTGCAGGGCAGGTTGAAACAAATCTTTTTTAATTCTGTGCGGGTGGGTGCGGTGCAGGTGCAGGATAAGATTAAAAATTTTACAAAATTACAACTTTCCCCCCAAGGTAACTTTCTTCGGCTTTCACCTTCCTCTCTCGGTTCTCTATCTATGAAGACTGAAGTTATCCTTGTAGTTTAATAAAAAGCTTTTGACTAGATTGCACTGGCGAATCTAGCATATCTCCTACAAGGCTTGTTATTTGTTATACCTGAATTGACCTATGAAAATCAAAGTGATATATTCTACTATTATTCTGTTTTTGACTCCAAAAGATATTACTTTTATGTCCTTAATTCAGATTTATGATTTCTTATCTTAATCAAGGATTTTTCCTAGTTTAATTGGAACAACTTGTAGCACTCCAGGTTCCTCTGCAAACGTGACATCTTAGAATTTCAGATTTAACTAAATGGAACCAAAATAGACACAATGTTTCCAATCAGTTGTTTATGGTTATGTTTCCACTCAGTTGTTTATGGTTTTTGGTTTCCATTACAAACTAAGACTGTTAGTTTAAAAGATTTTATAGTGTATACCATTGTGAAATGAGAAAAATCACATAGACAATTCCACAGGAACCTTAAGTCCTTACCAAATGAAAATTCCAGCCAAAGGATTAAAAAGAAATAAAACTAACAAAATAAATAAATAAATAAACGGGCCGGGGCAGGTGGACGCAGGTGTGGATGAGGGGCGGGTGGACGGGGGTGAAAGTCCCTATGCGGGGCGGGTTGAAATTTTGCGGGTTAAAACAGCACCTGCACCGCACCCGCGCCATCCCAACCTATGAAATCAAAGTACACATAGTTGCATTTGTAGGTGAATGCAACTCCTTATTTATCCTATATGTCCTCGATATTTATTCACACCAATATCTTCCTTCAGAACAACAGCACAAGAAGTCAGAAATAAACTTACAATCACAAAAGGTGGTTTAGAGCTGTTCGGGTCTGCAACGAAGAAATTGGACTTCTCCCACCAAGAATACCACCTATTCAGGTTAGCATAAAGAATCATAATTGTGCTCTAACAAGAATTGTACTCTGAATCAGTATTTAGAAAAAAACAAGGAGTAATTAGAAAGTAAAGGTGAAAACCAATTTTAAACTCACGATTTCTCTACAGCACTGGGATTAAAAGTCTTTGCCATTTGACGGGAGAGCCTCTTCTTCTCCCCCAGAGGTGTTTCTGGATCAACATAATCCTCAGGGTTTTCCTCTTCACCTTCCCTTTTTGAGCTCTTCTTCTTAGCAGCCTTTGACACATTGGAGGCGCCCTGTGCCTTAATGCAGACGAACCATGTCAGAGAAGCTCGGGAAAACCACAAATTAGATAACACTTATTAAAACTTTGATAATATTATCACAATGTGGGATTGCTGAAGGTCTTGGTAGTGATACCTAATGTTTGGTAATTTGTTTTCCTCCAAAACTGATATATAGTGAATGGCATTGACGGATAAGAAGCCATTCTACCAAGACAGGCATTTACCAAATAGACAAGTATCAAACATAATTAGATAAATAAAAAGTAGTTATACCTTTTTTGCTGCTTCCGCTTTTTGGGCGGCCTTGAGTTTTTTCAACTCTTTCTCTCTAGCCTACCAACCAACCAATAGACAAAAAAAGGACCACTTAGCAAGTATAAGCCCAGTAAATAATTCAGAAACAGGAAATATATAGAAAGTGCAAAAAGATTTATGTTCTATCCACCGTCATTGTAAAGAAAAAATTATAGGTAACCATCCATAAAAAGTGGTATTTGTAATCCTGAAAATAAGGCAAGTTACCTAAAAACGAGTAAAGGTGACCTGATAGAGTAAAATATTTTCTACACTGACAATGCATATATTTCGAATCCATCAATCAACTGCAACAATCCTAAGTTAGAATCCATACACTTGAATATCACAAAGAATATTGGTCTTAAACAAGGAATTGATATTTGAACCCCAAAAATATTATCGAATCACATTGGTTCATTGTGACAATGCATATATTTCGAATCGATCAATCAACTGCAACAATCCTAAGTTAGAATTCACTTGAATATCACAAAGAATATTGGTCTTTAACAAGGAATTGATATTTGAACGCCAAAAATATTATGGAATCGCAATTGTTCATTGTGAGAAATCATCCATCACAAGAAAACATAAAAGAAAACAGTGTTCAAACCTTTTCTTCTTTTTTCTTTTTCTTTTCGAGCTCTTCTGGGGTTAATTCCTTTCCGTCTGATGCTGCCGCCGCCGCCTATTATCAGAAACTCAATAATTTAAATCAAACAGATTCTACCACAATGTGCATCACAAAAAAACTACCTCCAAATATTCTTACCTCCGTTTTACAATTTTTCACAGTCTCTTGTGATTTACCCGACGAGTCAGCCTACAATCAGTTCAGTTCACAACAATAAAAAACTAGAGAAAGTTTGAATTTTCAAAAACGATATATATTAGTAAAAGAGAAAAACTCACCATAGTATCGGATTTAGAAGAGAAAATACAGCGACGGAGATTAAAGTACGAAGAAGAAAACGACGTCGGAGATGGCCGCCGGCGGCCGATGAAAGTGGACTGAGCAAGTAAACACTGGGAGGCTTTGAGAAGTACCCTAAGGCAAGCCGTTATGGATTGTTAGATGGAATTTCGAATAACTGTTTGCGTGAAAATACTGCGAGTATATGGATGTTTGAGATTCGGCCCAATTTTCGGGGCTTGATAATGGGCCCAAAATTCCTTTCCTGGATCTCAAGTGACCCCAGTTTTTGGGGTTAAATTTGAAGTTATACCATTTGCACAAAAAAATTGTAAGCGTACTCACTTTAGGATTAACTTAAAACTTATCGAGTCTAAGAGAGTGTTTGGTATGAAAGAAAATATTTTCATAAAAAATATGTGGTTTTATCACTTTTTTTTTTTTGGTTGGTGAGCGAAAAACTTTTTTCGGAAAATATTTTCTAGTATTTGGTTAGAGAGTAGAAAATATTTTTTTATGCTACTTTCCTCGTCCCCCTCCCTCTCCCAAATAGCCAACATTTTCAGTACTCTATTTTCTTCAAGAATTTAAGTATTCTTCTAAAAATTCACACAACCCAAATGAACTAATGCGTTGCTTTACTTTTTTACGTAAAATAACATTGAAATTTGTGCTCCATAACTAAAAAAAATACTCATATTTTGGTTGAAAAAGAAAGTACACTTTCTACAATATGAAAATAAAGTACTCATCTTATTGAAATAAAAGAAAATACTCATTTTGTTGAAATGAAAATAAATAAATTTTTTACATCATGAAAAGAAAATACTTTGTTGTTGAAATGAAAGAAAATATTTTTTCTACATGAAAGGAAAGTTTTTTTTTTTTTTGTTCAAATTAAAAAAAATACTTTTTTATATCATGCAAAGAAAGTACTATTAATAATATTTTTATTTAGGGTGGGGGATGGGGAAGGTTGAGAAGGAGTTTTGAAAAATGTTTTCCCTTCTCTTGATAGGGAAAATATTTTTCTCCAATTGGAGGAAAATATTTTTCAGAACATTTAAGAACACACCCTAAGGTTGAAAAAATCAATCTGAAGTGCAACCAATGCTTCATGCGCTTATGGCCAAATATGTCTAAAGTGTAAATTGCCTAGAAACATAAACTTGTTATTCAAATTCCAACAATCAATACACGATGTAACCATAGACATCAAAATTTTAACGGATCAAGCTAAATCCTAAATTAAAGATACTATAGGACTTTTGCAATCCTAGGAATCTATTAAGGTTGCTTGGAGGTTACTCTACCCTAAACCTAACTCACACATATATAAAGGGATACATATTCCCTTGAAGAGGGGTCTCAAAAAATATCACATAAATTATCGAGATATTCACAAAGGGATCAAGGCATAAAATAATGTCGTGGTCAATGGATGTTCTTCTTGATAATCAAATACTTCAAGAAGAATATCCATACAATGATCGACTTTCATGGAGATCAAATAATCCAGAGAGGTCCATATCATCCTACGTTCGAGAATACGCTGATCCAGCCCTCGAATCACGGAGAACAATTCAAAGGAAGAATCAAGGGATAAACAGAGTTGTAACCCGCAATGTTTATCAATAAAATCACTTTATTCTTTTGTGATTGCAGTTTATTTTTCGTATGTTGAAATTTATTGCAAACAAATTGGCACGCCTAGTGGGACCAGTTCTGCCCTTCATCTCGTCCTCCTATAAATCGAAAACTCCAAGTTTCAAAATTATTTGTTGCGATGGTCGAGTACTTCAAGTCTCGTATTCAAGTTTCGGCAAGCCTACACCCCGACAAGCCTTGAAGTAGTGGGCATTTGTAGGCATCAAAATTTTAATGGATTAAGCTAAATTCTAAATTAAAGATACTATAAGACTCTTGCAATCCTAGGAATCTATTAGGTTTGCTTGGAGGTTACTCTACCATAAACCTAACTCACACCTATATAAAGGGATACATATTCTCTTGAAAAGGGGTCTCAAAAGAAAATCCCATAAATTATCAGGATATTCACAAAGGAATCAAGGCATAAAATATTGTCGTGATCAATGAATGTTCTTCTTGATAATCAAATACTTCAAGAAGAATATCCATACAATGATCGACTTTCATGGAGATCAAATAATCCAGAGAGGTCCATATCATCCTACGTTTGAGAATACGCTGATCCAATCCTCGAATTACGGAGAACAATTCAAAGGAAGAATCAAGGGATAAACAGAGTTGTAACTCGCAATGTTTGTCAATAAAATCACTTTGTTCTTTTGTGATTGCAGTTTATTTTTCGTATGTTGAAAATTTATTGCAAACAGTAACACCTAAATCTCCTCCAAATGAGCTCAATTTGAAAACATAACCTCCAAATATCATCAAGAACAAACCCCAATCATCAATTTGTCAAAACAACAATAAATATAACAAATCTATTTTACAATTAAGAAGAGAAAGATGAAGAAACCATTAGCAGTAGTAAAGAGATAAAGCGCCACGACAACTCGCTACTGTAAAACCATAAATCACTTTAAAATATGCTCACAAACACCATATAGATTCACTATCAGCTTTATTTTTACAGCGAAAAAGAATAAGAAGAAGGAGGATGAGAAAAAGACCCGAAGTTGTCTATACTTTGAGTACTAATTAAAAAAAAAAATTAAAAAGTGGGTACAAGTTAAATTAGGGTGACCAAAAAGGGCGTCCCGAAATTTTTTTATTTCATATAAGTACACCGTTTACGAAATTAGGGTGTCAATAAAATTTTAAAATTTGACTAAGCCAGTCGAAGTGAACCGTACTAAACCAATTTTTAGGTTTATGAAGATATTTTTATGTAAATATATAATCACACCAAATAATTATGGTACATTTTAAATTTTATAAAAATAGCCGAAACAATATCGAATCGTACCGAATAAATTTATATATGAAAATATATATTTTATATATTAAGTTTAAAAATAATAAAAACATTAAAAAAATCTTGGGCATTGAAATATGGAAACAATTACAAGTCACCATGTAATTAACACCCAAAGTCCTTAACACCCGAGCCTATTTTGTTGTTCCGATTGAAACTAAAGTAGCTTCATCATCTCAAATACTAGGCACAAGGTATTTTATCGATTTTAAGCAGGAAGCCATAAGGTATTTTATATTTTTTCTCTCATATTAGATTTTTCTTGTTGGATACTTAATTTTTAATATTCTTTAATTGATTCCCAACTTTATTAATATCTTTCTACTCATATAATTTATATTTCTCTTTTTTTTGCTTCATTTGTGTTTATGTTATTGTTGAACAACGGGATGGATCTCTATTACGGCTATCTTTCATGTTCCATTATTTTGTCACCTTTTAAACAGTAAAAAGGTCTAGAGAGTTTTGCTGAAGTTATATGTAAGTACGTGTTATGCTGTTTTAACTTTTATTAGTGACTCGTTTAAAAAATAATAATTTACTGAATCTTACCATTACCGAAGAGAAACCGAGATAATTGGGATGCCTTTGAAAAACTCAATTTTGGTAATATAAAATAGAGTAACCAAAAAATTAGTATGGTACAAGTTCCATAAAATAATCGATCGAACCAAACTATTAATACCCCTAACGGAAACCGAACCAAACCCAAAACTAACTCAAACCAAAAAGCTGACATATTTTTTGTTTGATTTGATTTTGATTTTTAATAACAAAAATTAGTTTGTTGTTGATTTTAAGCAAAACATAACTGAAATATAAGAGAAAGATGAAGTAGAAACCTATAACTAAAGTGGATAATGTCATCCAGCATTTTTTTATTTTTCTTATTCTTAATACAGATTTTAACCGGCCATAGAATTAAAACTCATATATTTTATATAACTTAATCACAATAAAAATATAAAACAAGACTTTTTATGAAAAAGTTATGCTGATTGTCTAGGTATACAATAGTATGTCCATTACCTTTAATTCAGACACTCCTATAAAATTTATGTACCAAAATATAACATACATTCTAATAAAATACTATTATTGGATATAAATTAATCAAATATTTATAACTATTATATCAGTTAACTCAACATCAAATTCAAAAAATACTTTCGAAATGATACACAACAATTGCACGTCAAATATATATACTTTAAGAATATTTATATAAAATTTTAAAATATAATATATACGTTGCGCGTAAAACTGGTTTTCTTATCTATCTGGATTAACTAAAATAGACGAAGTAGTTACACGTAAATTTTAAGAGTGAATAAGTTTTATCATAGCTCCCTAGGCTAAACCATTTGCGGAATTTCTTCTTATATTACCACAGATAGACGTGGTAAAAAAAATGGTGGGCCTAAAAATAATGATGAAAAAAATAATTCGTCAATATATAAACATTTCTTTGACTAGCACATTACTTTGAACTCGTTATACTATTTCCTTTAACGTTTGTGCCAATAGACAAGAGGAAAATAAATCAATATCCACATTATAGATACTAACTGATTTTATACGCATAAATTTGACTTCTGTCTATATAGTGTCTACATAATGTAACGTTTTTCTGGCATAATATGCTCATGATGTTATGTTTTTATGTATTTTTTTGGCATATGTTTCCCCGTTATATTTGGCTTTGCACAAGTTGTTGGTTGAGACCTTTGAGGCACGAGTAAGAGTCCGTGGTAAAGTGGTAACCACTCCTTTATCCTTAATCAGAGGTTCCGGGTTCGAAGAGAGCGTTTTACTCCTAATGTGAGACTTTTCGATACGAATCCGAACTTAATCAAGTCCCAGTATGAATATCAGACCTCAGGTAGGAAACCAAAAAGAAAAGAGACTTTGGGTGTGTTTGGTACGAAGGAAAATATTTTCATGAAAAATTAGTAGTCTATCACTTATTTTTTCTTGTTTGGTTGGTGAATGAAAAACTTTTTGTGAAAAATATTTTCTAGTGTTTGATTAGAGAATACAAAATATTTTTAGGAAAATAATTTTTTATGCTACTCTCCTCAAACCACCTTCCCAAAATCATCATGTTTCCCGCACTCCTCCCCCCTCCCCATCCGGGACTTTATTTTCTTAATAATTTAATTATTTTTTTTAAAATTCACACAAATCCAAATGAACTAATGTGCTACTTTACTTTTTTCACACAAAAACAAGGTTGAAATTTGAGCTTTATTATTAAAAAATCAATACTTTTTTTGTTGAATAAAAAATATCCTTTCTACAACATGAAAATAAATTACTCCACTCATTTTATTGAATGAAAGAAAATTCTTTTTGTACATTATGAAAAGAAAATAAGTTTGTTGAAATGAAAGAAAATAATTTTTCTATGAGTTTGATATAATCCAATAACAATTGGATCAAACCCTGTATTTGTGTTAAAAAATTTATTAAATATATCAAAATGGTATATATAGAACGCAGTAGATAAAAAAAATTGTGGTGCATAATTCATAAACTGAAAATTCTAACTCCGCCTCTAATTAAAAGTGATAGGGTCAGGAATGAAGATATTCGAAACAAGGTTGAGGGTGGGCCCCATGAAGGATAAGATGTAGGAAGTGAGGTTGTGATGATTGGGGCACGTGGGGAGGAGATGCGCAGACGCCCAATGAGGAAGTGTGAGAGATTGAATATGTTGGGTTTAAGGAGAGATAGGGGAAGACCGAAGAAGCATTAGGGAGAGGTGATTATGCACGACATGACACATCTTCAGATTACTGAGGACATGACCCTTGATAGAAGGTTTTGGATGTCGAGAATTAGGGTAGAAGATTAGCATGATGTACAACGTACTTTATTTTCATACCAGTAGGTTTAGTATTATTCTCGTTTATCTTATTACTATATTTAGTGTATGTAACTTGTTTGAAAAGCACAAAATTAGTATAAAAAAATTATAAAGTTTTTATTGCAGACATATCAAGATTTTTTTGAGTTATACAATAGATATTAAGTTATCTAAACATCTTCACATTCTCTGGAAGTTGAGCGCAGTATTTATTTAACTAATTCATGGCTTATATACTTTGTATTTATGACATGATGACCAATCAGTGGTATCTCTCTTCTATGATTTGATAGTCTATTATTTTTTTGGTTTCAACAAAACTTTCAACTTTTAAACATTCAGTTTATTTTCGCAAGAATCTTTTTTTGATTTAACAAATACCTACAGAATTAAGAAAGATTGCACTTACAAAGTTTTATTCCTCCTTACAAATTCTCTCAATAATTAAGTAATAAACTTTTTATAAGACTATACCATGCGTAAAATACATGTATTAATTTGCAGGATAATTTCAGTGAATCAGATTCCTATGGCCGCACAACATAAAATAAACTCTTACAATTAATGAGTCAAATAATCAAATTATAACATACACCATTACAGAATAAGTTGATTTAGTTAATTCTTTCATTTATCTCGTCAGACAATGATATTATATTCACGAATAAAAAAGAGTAGAACTATAATTTCTTATTGGCTAAAGACTGTTAAAGAAATCGGAGCTTGTGTAGGCTACACCATTAATTTTGATCATGTCTAAAATAATTCTACATACCATTGTTTTTCCTGTTTTTATCTATGATGCAAGATTTCATAATTTATTTCCTACACGCAAAACTAAATCTTATCATAATATAAATTCATCCTAACATAATTGACACATAAAAAAATAAAGGAAAAGAAGGAGCTCACCCGCTTTCAAGAAGACCAATCAACATAAAGTGAATTTAAGATGACTTCTAATTTTTATTACTCATCATAAAAAGCAATATACAATATCACATGATGAATTTTCATTAATATGCCATAAGTTAAAGAAGGACACATATATTGACGATTACTGTTTGTGCCTAGGTTTTTAAGCATTAAAATAAGTAGTAGGCAAGGTATTACTATAGCTATGTTACCTAGTTCATACTACTCCGTTAAGAATTTAAATAAGGTAAACTATTGATTGATCTATTGTCCTAAATATTACGACTTTCTATATAATTCAAATAAGAAAAAATTAATAAGAAAGATTTTAGTTAATTTTATAACTCTAAAAGTTAGAGAAATAACTAAATGATGATTTTGTTTAGTATAAAATCTATCTTTAAAAGGTGAAAAAGGCGAACGATCTTTCGGGACGTCGTGCTTTTAATATAGTATAAATTATATTTCTATTACTATCCGATATTGCTTCTGCATTAATTTTATTGCTATTTTGCTGTCGTTACTGCTTCTTTTCATAGTTTTTTTACTGTCATGTTTCTTTTTTTTTTTACTGTCGCATGCCCGAGCCGAGGGTCTATCAAAAATAATCTTTTTACTTGCTCCAGTTAGGGGTAAAATTGTGTATATATTACCATTCTCAAACTACTTGTGGGAATACATACAGTATGTTATTGTTGTATATTGAAAGGGAAAGGAAAAGAAATTTTTTAAAAAGAGTGAGAGCGCCTTTGGACGAGCTTTTTTAAGTGGCTTTTAAGCATAAGCCATAAGTTAGTAATTCTAACTTTTGACTTTTGACTTTTTTTTATCATTTTAGCTTAAAAATAAATATTTAAAAGTACTTTTTTATTTTATTCAAATACTAAAAGTTATTTTAACTTAAAAAATACTTAAAATAAGCCATCCAAATTTACTTTCACCGGCACTACTATAAAATAATCCAACCGCTATGTAATTCATTGCCTTGTACGCATATAATTGCTCTCTCTCTCTCTCTCTCTCTCTCTCTCTCTCTCTCTCTGTTTCTTCTCTCTCTTTACGTGTGTGTCTTTTCTTTTATCTCCATATATCAAATTGTAATAAATTAATTATTCTGATCAAACACAATTAACCGATCATCCAGAAGCAAAAGCGATCGTTTTCTTCCCCGGCAAAATTTCCAGGTAATTCATCGATCATCGTTTTATTCCATGTTTAATATCTATCAAGTTCATATTCCTGTTTGATTGTTCTGTTCCTTTATTTATTACATACTTTTTGCTCGGTTTTTGTTGGGGAAAAGTTATTGGGTTTAAAGCTGATTTTTCTCGCCCGATCGTTTTTTTAGAATCAAATTAATGCTCTTTTGCAGTTGTTTTTTCGCTATTGCTCGGTAGATTTTTTAACTTAATTTTTTAAATTTATCCTTAATATTTGTATTCAATCATTTATCACTTGGTGGAGGAATATATAGTATTTCGTTTTTTCTAAGCTGATTATCATTTTCCCACCCGATCGTTTAGTATGTGATTTATTTTTTATTTTACATATTTTGCATGAATAAATTGTTTTCTGCTTATTTCAACTTATTGTATCTAACAACTTTAAAAAGATATCTAAATGAAACTTAAATTATGTTTGATTGTAAATTATTCAAGTGCCTAGTTTTTTGTGTTTTTAAGTAAATACTGGAGACTTGATATAATCAACAGAAACTAAGAAGAATATAATTGTTGTAGTTATTCCAAGTTCAAATCCTAGCGGAGTCAAAAAGCTAGGTGATGTCTTTCCATCCGCCTAGAGGCGAAACCAAAATTTGAAGTTTGTGGGTTCTGAAGTTGCCACAGAACCCATAGCTCGTCTTAGTTAGTGGGTTCGTAATTAAATATTTATACATATTTAATAAATTTCTTAATACAAATCCAGAGTTTAAGTAAAAGTCACAGGATTCCAGCGAACCCGTATTTAGTAGGCTAGCTCCAGCCTTACATTTGCCTAAACCTTGGTGGACAAAGTTACCCGGTATTTGTGTTGATTGTAGGTACCAGATATTAAATGGAATTAGTCGAGGTGCGCGCAAGTTGACGCAAATACCGCCATCATTGAAACAAGTAATTTTTGTAGTTATTCATCGCGCAGAGTGCATAAATATTTAAAAAAGGAACAAAATTGAATATTTGACATCCCAATTTGGTAATCTGCTACATTAACTGTAATTTTTTAATGTGAAAATCTTGATGTCCAGGAAAGTATGTGTTGCATATAGGAGTTCCTAAAGCATTGATTATTTATCAAAAAGAGAGGGAGGGAGGGAGAGAGGGAGGGTAAAAGAGAGAAATTGGTTGGTTTATTTCACTTATGTGAAGTATTCATGGCTTAGCTTTGTTTCGTATTATTGGAAGGCAAGTGAAAGTGATATATATTTTCTCCTTTATGGATAGTAGGCAATTCTTAGTTTTATTTCCTTATATGTCCTTCAAGTGGAATGAGATGCAAATTATAAGTGGTGCACTGATTTACTAAGATTACATTTTCGAAGAGAAATTGATCTTGAGCGTTAAGTCATAACTTGATAATTCATGGCAAGTGGTATTGATAATCACGCTAGCTTACAACATCAACAACTATAAAACTACTACTATGCCTCAATCCCAAGCTAGTTGGGTTCGGCGGTATGAATCCTCATTATTATAAGTGCTTCATTTGGGTCCATAATATTTCAATACTATGTACTTAAGGATTATTTAGCACTAGAGATTCTCTAATGTGCTCTAGTGGTTTGTCAACTTGAGACTGATAATTAATTACGCTAGCATACTGCATGTAAATTAAGTGGAGAAAATAAACCATAGTGAGGTATCCCGCCTGACTTAAATTTAGCCTATGAGGAACATTGACATCTTAGCCAATCATGGTGAGAGTAATTATAATCTAATACTTCGTTTGTTCTATTTTATTTGACACTCTTTCCTTTTTAGTTTCTTTTAAAAAAGAATGATTACCCAAGGGTTTGGCCTAGTGGTCAATCAGTCAATGAAGTGGGTTGAGAACCATGAGGTTTCAGGTTCAAATCTCAGCGGAGGCAAAAACATTAGGTGTTTTCTTCCTATCTGTCCAAACCTTGGTGGACAAAGTTACCTGGTACCTGTTGCTGGCCGGAGGTAGCAGGCATCCTGTGGAATTAGTCGAGGTATGCACATGCTGGATGGGACACCACGGTTATAAAAAAAAGAATGAAACCTTCCTATATTTGGGAAAAAATTATCTTTACTTCCCATTTTACCCTTACTAAAATGCTTTTATAGTCACAAGAAATGTCACGACGTGTTTAAGACCACAAGTTCGAGAAGTTTTCCTTTCTTTCTTAAATTGCGTGCTCAGTCAAACAAGCCACATAAAATAAAATGGGGGGAGTACAATTTTGAGTTATTTATATCGTGTAGGTTTAAGATCATTTCCCCCAAATTTGACTCTGTGTGTCTGTCATTTTAAAAGGATCAGCATGAAACCCCTTTTCCTCAAATAAGGGGTGGGGGTATACTCATAACGCCGCGGGAGTTAAATTCACCTCAGTGGTCTAGAGACCAAGCAAAAATGATATGTTATTGATACATGCCGTATAGGTCTTAGTGAGAAACTTTTCAAATGAACTAAGATTTGAGTCTCATAGTGATGCAACTTATTTGGATAAGAAATTACAATTTGAGTCCACCAATTTCATGTCAAATCCAAAATGGTTCCTAGAATCAGTTTTACGCCATTCTTCCATGAGCAAAGCTGTTCATGGCGAATGCATTTCTAGTTCCTTTAGATTGGTATTTCATAGTTGGTATTGCATTTTGCAAGGATCCTTCTGGACAATCTTGTTGATCTTGGTACTTGTATGAGAAAATAAGAGCCTTGTGATTGTGGAGTTATTGGTGCATATAATATTACGGTGGTTCTTAAAAATCAAGATTTGTATATACCATTAATGCGTACTTTTAATTCAAACTTTGTCCCATGCAAATGAAGCAGGCTTTATTTGCATATCTTACCATACGGTCACAGAGTTAAAGGCCCTGCAAGGACCCGAAGACATAATACTTTTTCTTTATTGCTGACCGCTTGAGAGAGACTTTTCGGTTCACGTAAGCATGTCCTTTTCCTATGTAAGCTCTCAAATTGTTAGCTTTAAGATCTACTGTTAAAAGAATCTAGGTGGAGCATGTACCTGTGCGGTGCAGCTTTTAGCTGTCAAAAGTTCTCTTATTGGGGCATAGCTCTCTTTGGATCCCAGGGGGATATGATGTCGCGTATTATGATAATTTAATGTTATTCTTCAAAATTGTCCTTCCCTTTTATTCTAACCGCTTTTTTTGTTACATTTTTGAACACTTTAATATAAAGTAAGAAACAACAGTCGATCAGTCCCTTGTTCAACTTAATGATACATCTTAGCGCTGAACCGTCTATATTTGTTTATGTTGTTTTTTGTTTTTGTAGGACACCATGCCAAGTTACTTTCATTGGACTAGTTCGGAACTAGGAAAGCATTTGCCTTTATCCCACAAACTTTGTAATTTGAACAATATTTATATTGTTGTCTCTCTTTTATAAATGATCTTTTTTTCTTGTTCTGTGATCCTATTTAGCATTTGTTGCCTCATTAATTGGTTATAGTATGGGACTGTATGCATCAGGATATGAACTTGAAGGAATTGGATGAACTAACTTAAATGTCTGTATGCAAATATTTATCTGAAGCCAAGTGACAGTGGCTCTATATTAACAAATATCTATCTCCAATCTTCCTGCCTAGCGCCCACTTTGTAATCTATTAGGCATCGAGTCCCTAGATTATATGTGCTAGCATTTTTCAATATTACCTTCCAGAGCATCTAGGTTTAGATGGTTTTTGCTGTGCAGGCTAGGGAGGCTGGTGGCTTATTGTTGTCAGATGAAGGATATTGCCCTAGAGTCATAAGAATGGGTTTCCTGAGCTAAATAGTTCAAATTAGGGCTTTGTTGGAGTTGACTTGAGCTTAATATTGGGCCTGATGATCAAATGTCATTTTCATTGACATTTCTTACCTTTGACACGACATAAGATTATGCGAGGGCTTGGAATGAGGACAGATTACAAGTACAGGTGAGGGTTTTGGTACCTACCTTTCTCAGTCCAGCCATATCTATCTGTAGTACTTATTTTAAGGAACAATTTCCTCATCTTACATTGTTCTTTTGGTTTCCAGCTTTGCTCTAGCATCTTACTGCTCTTCCTCTCTTTTTCCGTGTCTCAGTCCGGATTTCTTATTCTCGTCTCAGATCATTAGGATACGGTCATATAATTATATTTCTGATTCTTTTTATCTTTCTTACTGAAAATAACCTGGGAGCTCGTGCAGGGTATTTAAAAGGTGGATAGCTAGCTAGCTTTGCTATTCTATAGACCTCAATCACAAATGATGTTGCAGGCAACATTTTGGTCAATCTGGCAGGTTATGAAGATATTTCATTCTTATGGTGTTCTTATTCAGATTCATTAGTCTGAGCTGCTGCTATTGCAGTCTCCTATCCTTCAACCTTTGAGCCTGAAGAGCTCATAGGAAATGGATTCTGCTATCTTTGCAGAATTGATGACCTTGCACTGTGAAAATCACCTATACAATTAAATTGCTTCTCTGAAGGTTGAAAACCTGAAGTTCGTTTACTGGCTGCTGCTAACTGTGGGTGAGAAGTTGTTGAAAAACTGAAGGTCATTTACAGGCTGCCACTATCTGTGAGTGATCATTTGTTGAAAGACTGAAATTCATTCTACAACTGCCACTAACTTTCGGATTAGTTGTGGGACTCCTTTGCTTTATGACAACTGCTGGTTGTATGGGGCCACTTTCACTTGGAAAGAGTGTCTTGGTTATGCCCCTTTTTGATTGATGATAGGGGATGAGGTTCTTGCTGATCGTGCTGCTTTCAAAGCACATTTTGACTGGGATTTGTGTCATGTTCCTGCGGATTGGGTCTGTTGGTAGTGACATGGGGGCAGAGGTGGTGCCATCTAGATCTGCTGCTTGTCCGTGCACACTTGGATTGTTTGCAGGCGAATAACACTAAATGGGGCACAATAGAATGTGTGCTAATTGGACGGTTTGCAACTTTATTACTACATTCCTCTTAAGGCTCAGGAGTAGAGGCACTGAGCAGATACTTAGTGCTCGCTAGACGCAATGTTCTCTCTCTTTTCTCACTGACAGCTGATCACCTTATCCTGATTCATTTGTATGCTGGTAATTCATTTAGTTGAGCCTGTTGACCTAATGAACCTGTGCTCCTTTGAAGTCTTAGGTTGTAATCTTACTCTATTTGTGGCTTAGAACGAAATAAAGTGAGAGCAATCCTGATTAACAGATTCTCTGAGTGGCATCACAATACACAACTGGGGTTGCAATGGATGGTACATTTTCTTAGTGGCCCACTAAGATGTAGCCATTGATGCTAGTATATTGCTAAGTGTGCTGCAATTATTTAGAGCACTTAATCGTAATGTTGCTTGGTCTACCCAATATTGGAGGACAGCTACCATAGTTGGTTGAGATGAATCAGAAAACACATGTAGTACCAGTTAGCTCTGTCTTATGGTTGAACTCCCATTGATGTAAAAAAATCTCCAACTGCTGTTGCTTCTGTAGCTACAAGGATTTCTCCTATTGTTCTTTGGGGCTTGTTGATGCCCTGCAATATTCATCTTTTTGTACTACCCACAATCTTCTGAGGTGGTGTCTCTTTTATTTTACATTGCAAGTAGATGCAATCATGGAAGGCTTTTTACAGCCATTTCACAGTTTTTGCTTCTACTCACCATTTTGACTAGGCAATACTTCGTTTTAAACTCATTCAAGCACGAAGTACCTCCGGTACTGTTAACAAAATTTTTTCCTTTCTCTCTCTGACAAGATTATTCCTTTGCTTGTCTTGTACACTCATTGTCCATTAAGTTTCTGTCTTTCTGAGTAGTCAATCTTTTGCTTCTTCTCATACAAACATTAACAATTGCGTCTTTGTAAATACTCTCTTATGTTCTTTACCACTGGTGTATCTCATACAAACATTAATAAGTGCTTCCATAGAAACTCTCAGGCTCCTCCCCCCACCCGTTGCTCTTGGTCCTGCATTTGTTTGAGTTCTGCACCTTGAAGCAGTCATTAACAGAAAAATTGATGGATTCATAAAATTGTAGTGGCTTCTTCTTAATGGAACATATTTCAGTGAGACTGCCATGGGATAACAACAACAACAACAACAACAACAACATACCCAGTATTATCCCACACCGTGGGGTCTGGGGAGGGTAGTGTGTACGCAGACCTTACCCCTACCTTATGAGGATAGAGACTGCCATGGGATGAGGGGAACCAAATTGGCCTTGTCTATTTGGTGGCATGGCTCGTCAAAGGTACTTGTGGTGATATGTTTCTCCTTTTAGCTTTATAAATTAGCTGCCTTTAGTCACTTCATAAACAATGAGCTGTCTTTAGTATTTTCTATCTTCTAGTTGAAACAGGAGTAATCAAGTGGTTTAGCTTGTGTGCTTGTTTCATATTCAATTTTGAGTAGTTCAATAGGAATGGATCATAGATATCCATCCTCAGGACAGATCTTACTCTTTCCCTTTTCTCATCCTTACTGAGTTAACTTTGCGATGGAAATTATCATAACTGCATCAAATTTGGGTAATATGATTATGTGCATAGGAGTATCATTACTACCATTAGCTTGCTTATTGTTCTCTAGTCTCATATATTCAGACAACTTATTTACTGTCCATGAACGATAGTAGCATAAAGTTTTACTGAGCTTAGAAGTGATTCGCATCATGGATAATCCTATAGAATTCAATGGTGGTGTTGTTGCCTTTATAACAATACATTTTCTCCATTGCAAGTAATTAAAAATAAATTAGTTCTATTTATCAAAAACAAAAATCAATTTCTCCTAAGACTTAATTGGAGGAGTTATGTTAGTCAGGTAAAAGGATATTCTTCAGCTACCCGAGCGATTCTAGGGCATATATTTCTACGTATAAAGAAAACTAGCTGTAATTGTCCACATATAATGGTCTTAACTCCCTAAAAGAAACAAAGGAGATAAACATATCAGTCCCGTCTCTCCTGTCTTTAGAGGAAAATTGAGGATGAAGTTAGATATATTATGACAAACTTTTATCTCTTATGAGCTTCTGTTGGGTTCTAGGAAGTTACTGTCATTAGAGTTTTATTCCTTTTTATAGGTCAAATAAATTTCTACTCTTCCAATATCCATATTGACGTCCAAATGGTCTTTGCATCACCACCCCTCAAACAGGAGGTTATGGTAAGACTTCTTGGAGAATCATTTGAAAAGGTCATCTTCCATTCCTTCTTATCGCCGTAACTCTGTAAAGCTTATATACCTGTGAGGAAATCTTTCCACATTGTCAATTTTCAGTGTTATATACTTGTCTAATTCTTTTTTGGTTGACAGTCTCATTCCTTATTATGAATCTCCAACTACGGCTTCCTTTGCAGTTGTGATTCCAAAGAGACGAGAAAATTCAGCTGTTAGAACGGTATGACCAAGCCAACATTGAATACAGTTTTCATTCCTAAAAGAGATTCCTATGAACCTCATGAAATCCTTTCTCTTCATAATCTTTTCCATTAAGCTTGTTTTATAAGAGAGAGTTGCCACTTTCCATAACCATCCAAAAATATGTGGTTATACTTTTTTTCTTGAGAAAGGTAACGATGTTATATATCATTAGCACAAAGACAGTGCTAAACCCCATTTTTACAAAAAGAGCAAAAGTGTTCCCTTAGTTCTTACAAGTTACAGGGAATCTATGATGTGTAACTTTGAATCTATTTTTTAGAAATTCATATCCTTTTCGTTGATCAGTTCACTCCATCGAGCTTTCTCTTCTTTTTCTAGCTTCCATAACCATCCCAAGAGGGCTCAGTTGAACATAGTTATTCTCCAAATACCAAAACTACGATTCCTACCGAGGCTCTTCCGATCCTATAGGGGCTCTATCTCTCCCAACTCACCAGGTGAAATTTCCTATCTCATTCATTTGCCCTCAAAAAGGTTTTCAAGTTTTTTAGCCACCAATGCTTGATAATGAAAATGCTCGTTAGAGTTTCTTTATCAAAGTAATTCTCCCTCTTTTGACATGCACTTTTTTTTCCCACTTCATGCATATTCTCTTGAACTTTTCGCTAATAGTAGCAACGGTCTCCATTGTTGAATTTGCCTCCCAGGGAAAGAGCTAGGTTTCTTGTAGGGAACTCGCAGCCACTCCTAAGTTGTAGTTAGATCATGGTTGTTGTGCACCTCCCAAAGGTATTTTAACTCTAATTTCATCGTACTGATTTTGAGCCAATACACTGCTACAAATGTCAATATCTTGAACAGTGAACAGATTTGTCTCCATTGAGGGTCATAGAAAATTAGTATCATTAAGTTTATGGTAGATCTGATATTTTATTCTCTACTTTACTGGTAGCTTTTATCGTAAAACCATTCAGACACACTCCATTTATTGCTTTGCTTTTCCTGTGGCTTATTGAGGATCTCCAAGACAATTTGGGAAGGTTATGGGGATAGATGATCTCAGCGTCGAGATCCAGTCATCATTGTTATTTTAACATGAATTGGCAACCAAAGAGTAGTATAAAAAGTTGCCGGAACAATGTTCTAAGGAGTGATAACCTAACTTCAATATCATGAAGAAAAAAAAATAGCATGTTTTGGATGGTAGTAAAAACATGATGCTTGTTTAACATTAGATAAGCTTCATATTATGAGGATTTACTCTATGCAGCACATGTTTTCTATGTGAACAATCCTCTGAATCAGTCACATGTTTCTTCACTGCTACGGTAACGGTGCTACCAAATGTTTCAGATATGGGCTCTGTTTCTATACATCTTTGGTGTTTTTTGGGTTATGCCACAGAATCTGAAGCAGTTGTTGAACTGCTGCAGAGATAGAAAACAGGCAAAGTAAGAGACAGATGTATAAAAAATATAATTATGTGGTTCAGTGAAACTTCCAAAATAGCATATCAACTATTACGGATATACTAGATTCCCTGAATTTTTAGCAGTTTTGAAAATTCTCCTTTTGTTTTTTCTCTTTAGTACTCCCTTGGTAGTGGTTATTAATTAAAATTTTTAATTTAATAAATAGAGAAACTATAAAGAAAAAAATGAGAAAAAGCTTTGGAGAATATTTTGCTCGAAATTCTTCTAGACTAGTGGCCAGAAGAGATGGTGCCACCGGAAAGGATCTGGTCATAGAGACCAAAATAGTAACTTGTAAAAAGAAGGGAAAATTTTGAGTGGACAATTTGCAAAAAGCCATCTGCATGTATGCAGGAAGTTACTTATCTGTCGATCAAGTTTTTAGAGGCTTACCATGTAAAAGGAGACAAGTAATGAAGAGAACCTTCTTTGAATTAGCAGTGAAAAACATATTAGACTCTTTATATTGGAGTTTGGGCTAAAATGAGATAAGGAAATTTTGGAATACATGAAATAAGAAAATATCTTGGCTGAAGAATATATCCTAGTTCTTTGGATTACAGAACCACAAAATAATATTTCATGCCATTAACCGGATGTATTCAACATATAACAATGTTAATCCTCTTTACTTTTAACATAAACTATCAAAAGGAAAACATGGTTTTAGCATATAGCAACAGTCAACTGCGTCAGATTGGCCAAATCAAGAGCTTATGTCTTGTAGCCATTAATATTACGAGTTAGTTGTGTTTTGACTTAATTCTGCATGCTGATAAATAAGTTTCAGTGCAAGAATTTTACCTCATCTAGCTGTCTGATCTTGATTACTTTATGTCAGGGGCTTGACAATTTTAATTCGAGCTTTTCTGTTTTGTTGTGAAATCCCAAGCTTAATCCCTGTTTTTCCTTAAAATTACTTTTGATAAGATCTTTCGTCTATGTTGACTTGTATCTGTTATTAGTTAGTATCTGTACCAAGATGTGAGTAGTTTGTGGAATTCATAAGTCTGAAATTTGTTTGATGAGAAATTGTTTAGAATTCATGTCGGGGTTCTGAAGATACAGGAAGATTGACAATATTTTTCCAATACGTTACTTAGCGTACTAAAGGGAGGGACAGGGAAAGGGAAAGGGAAAGGGAAAGATAGAGTGAGAAAGTTATAGAATATCATAAAGGTGCTTTTCTAAGGTACTTTTAAAATTAGCTTCAGCTGATCAGTCATGGTTGGTCGATGTGGATCTTTGATGTGTCATTTTGTGGTTTATAGATGAATGGTCAAAATTCTGGGTAACTTTTTATATCTCCTTTCTGTATAAAGAAATAAAATGACAAGGTGAAACCAAAAGTGCAAAATAATTTTCATCATGTTTTCTATGAAATGACTTTTGTTATTTGAATGCAGTTTTTTTTTTCACTGAGATATAAATTTATTGCCGCATTCACGTACAATGGGGCACAGAAATTTATTCAACATGTCTCAGATATTTGAGACAGAAGATGATCAGAGATGGAATCTTCCAGAGCAGCCACCTTTGTCTTTCGGTAACAATTGATATTCCTTTTAGGTGTACTGATTTTCACTTTTAAAATAAAGTTTTATTAGGTTTTGTCTGAAATTAGTCTATTACTAAATCTATCACATGCCTTGGAGCTGCAGGTTCATAACATGCCATTAGCTAAGCATACCATGATTTTGTTCCTTTTCATCTTGCCCTTCCTTCTGGTTATTGACATGTGGTGCTAGTAAACTCGTTATATTGTCGAGGTGATCCTATGATCATATTAGTGCTAAAAGTAGTTAAATCATTGAATACTTCTCTATTGTAAAAGATGGAGAATACATGTGGCAAAATGATGTGCCCTTCTGGTGCTTCATGGTGGATTTTCTCCTGTAGAGATGAGAAAATGGTCCATGTAAAATCTACCTACATATAGTACCAGTGGATGGGCTTGAACTAAACTGTTGGATTGAGAACAGCAAATAGCTTTTAATTAGAGGAACTAACCTTGGTTAAACATGGAAATTAACAATTTGACAGAATACTCTTGGGGAAGTGCTGATGAGTAGTGAACAAAATATTGCCTTCTGGCTGTATAAAATAGGACGTATACTTCGCTGACCATTTATATGTTCTGAAATAGGGGGGACGTAAATAAACAATAAAGAACCTTCTCATGTCGATGTCTCCTTTATTGCAGCACGGGCTGGTGCTCCTGAAAGCAGTAATCTTGTTTATCCAGTGGACAATATGTCAATCGACGGGACACACCATTCTGCTCAGGGGAGTTATGCCTCCAGGCCAAGTGGATATTCTTCCTCGAATCAAAATATGGAAATTCCACACTGTCAGCCACAGGTTCAAGGTCCTCTTCATGATCCTTTTCTGCATTCAGGTACTGGAGGTTTTCATATGATCCATGAGAGTTATCCACATCAAGCATCTTCATCAACCCATGGAGGTCAGACGTATCATGGGGTGGATGGTGGCCTCGTTGACCTCACAATGGGCAGCGGGAGAGGGCGATACAAACGTAAGAGTCCTGGTATACCCGCAGGTGGCGAAAGTGGTAGTACGAGCAGATACTTCGATGCTGGCAGTTCATCTGATATCCCTTCTGACTCTTGGCATGAGAAACAAAATCCAGACTCTCATTACACGACTTGGGGTTTACATCCTAGTTACAGAGGTAATAATCTGTCTATTGGAGGTGAAGGTTCTCAAAGGAATGTAAGAAGCAGATCTGCATTTGATCTGCAAAGTAATGTGGGAAGGGCACATATAACAAGTAATCCTTCACATCACTCTAACAGCAGTAGAACAACCACTGATTATTGTAGTTCAGTGAACTATCTAGCTCCAAGTTCTAATTCTTCAACAAGGGAATGGAACCATGCAGTCATGCCCCCTGCTGTCACTCATGGGAGGAATTTCTCTTCTGGTTAGTTTCTTAAATTATTTTGTTATCCTTTGCTATGTATTGATTTAATTAGTAATGTTTTGCAAGCTGCAGATACAGGCTTCTATTGTTATGATATGAACCACTACGATATGGTAACTGGCAATATATCTACCTCTCTGGAGATGGGGAGTTACCACAATGATTTCACCCCAAACAGAAGTTCCCTTCCTCAACATTTGCCTGGCAACTTGCAATCTTCGAGGGGAGTCCGAAGTAGCTACATTCAAAGATCTTCCCCTTCTTTCAGGACTTCGTCAAGCTATTTGCGCCATGGGCATGTTGGTACTTCAGATGACGCATCACAGTTGTTTGCTGAAGGTTACTCCTCAAGACATTCACGTCCATTGTCTACTCTAGGACCACGCAGTAGTGACCGAAATGGGAGAACTAGGATATCTAGTGATAGGTACAGATCATTGGCTGGTGAGGCAGGTTTTCGTGAGCAACTTGCATCTGAGGTGTGTATACTCATCATATACAAGAAATTGTCATGTCGTCCTTTTGAGGGGCTCAGTAACTGTGTAGACTCCCTATATAAATACACACTGTTTTTTGTCATCAGGACATGCATCTAGTTGTTTTGCTTCATGCCACAAGAATGTCCGTCTTTCTTTTTCTTTTCCTTTTATAAATAAATGACCTTTCCGCTTCATGCTACAAGACTGGTGTAAAACCCTTTTAGGTAAATCATAGATGCTACCAGGTGTATTTTGTACTTTTGTTTAACTAGCTAATGCAGGGAATTATGTGCTTCACTTTGAAAAGATTACTGAGAATATGTATGCGCCCAGATTTATGATATGTAGGCTTGTTCATTAATTTAAGCTGTTTCTGCTGTCTGTTTTGACTTGTGATCCTTCTTATATCCCAGTCAGTCTTGATGTGATTCAATCAGAGCTCCTTAATTTTGTTCATTAATTTTCATAACTTATAATTTAGTGGATTTATTTTGACTTTTTGTATTGGCACTTGTTTATTCCAATCTGGCATCATGGGAAATTCAAATAGCTGCAGATGGTAATTTGGCTTTAATATGATATTGTTGTTAATCATTTCTACGATCTCTGAACATATCACCTTCAAGGCATGTTGAATGTGAAACTCTGTCGGTTCTTTCAGGGTGTTATTATTCCAGATCGCTCTACTTTATACGGATCCAGAAGCCTGTTTGATCAGCATAGGGACATGAGACTTGATATTGACAACATGGGCTATGAGGTAATGCTGAGACTCTACTAGAACCTTTGTCTTGCTTTCTGTTTTCAACATGCAGCCATCTGCTCAACTTCGATCTTTGACTTGAGCAGGAACTTCTTGCACTTGGAGAAAGAATTGGTCACGTCAATACTGGCTTGTCGGAGGAGCTGATTTCAAAGTGCATGACCGAGTCAATTTATTGCTCCTCTGACCAAATTCATGAGGAAGGAACTTGTGTTATCTGTTTGGTGAGTACTGTCATCTTGTTGGAAAAGTACATCATACATTAGGTAAAAATTAGAGATTATGACTTCAAGCATTGAGAATAAAATGCTTCCTAGGTGTTCTCATCATGAGTTAAGTTTAATGCACTGGCTGTGTAAAAAAGATTTAAACAATTAGGTCATTTATACAAGAATTACATGTAAATTTGTGTATAACCATAACTTGGTGACCTGGTAAAACTAGTAATTAACATGCTATCATAGGCTAAGGCTAAATGTAAAAAAAATTTACACCGTCAATCGAACTTCAGTCCTTTCATCATTATGATGCTATGCAAGTTTACTTGTTGAGATCAGATAGTGCATTGAGCAGTTTTACCGGTCTGTTAGTTGGAATAGAGTCGTTGCTTTTCATGTGAGTAAAACGATAGAATTCTAACATGTCTTGTTTGACAGGAAGAGTATGTGAATATGGATGATGTTGGGAGCTTGAAATCATGCAGCCATGATTTTCATGTCGGGTGCATAAGAAGATGGTTGTCGATGAAGAACTCGTGTCCGATCTGCAAGAAAACTGCATTGGATGACGATATGAAAGAAAAATGATCTATTCAAGTATGACCTATTGACATAAACTTGTGTAAATATGTATTTAGACCAGACAATTCTCAAATGGGGGAACTAGTATCACCTCAAAATTTGTACAGCAAATGTTTTCATATCATCAGTCATTTCTTTCAAATGTTTAAAGGACCTTTTTGTTTGCACTA